TCTTCTATGAATCCTAAGTAAAGCGACGCAAACGTCGGAGCAACTGGTGTGCCCATGGCAGTTCCGGATAATTGGAGCCACGTGGTGTCTCCAAAAACGAAGTAATTAGAAGTCAACAGAAGTCGAAGTCCAGTTATTATGCCAAGTTTCCAGGGGTTGTCAGATAGTAGTCGTTCAAGACAGGTTAGTGCGAGGTCGATGTTGATAGAAGTGTATAGTGCACTAATGTCAAATGTGACCATAAGGTCACTGTCGTGAGGGACTAACTGTTTGAGGTCAAGAATGAGTTGATCTGAGTCTCTCAAGTACGAGGGAGATTCCGTCAGATATGGCTGTAGATGGTAGTCTAGCCACTTTGACAGTCCCTCGAAGATCGAATTACTGTTTGCGACGATAGGACGAAGTTCTAAACTAGGCTTGTGGATCTTGGCCAGGGCGTAGAACTTATTTAGTGCCTTTTCATCGAGGTCGGACAGAATGATCTTCGTGTCCTTCCAGTCCGAGCGATTCCCAAAATGGTAGGATAGATCGAAGGTGAATTTCCTTAATTTGGACTTAAGTAATTTGACGAGGGCATCGTTGGGCGCCATGGACCTCCTGTAGACATGAGCCTGCTGGAGATGTGTGAGACAGAACTGTATGTATTGAGTCCTATTCATGACAGCCGGTCCTAGATTCTTGTCCGTGGATAGGACATGTAGATCGGGTCTTTGAGCCATCAGCTTAAGTAGGAGACGGAGTTCCTGGCTGAGGTTCATGGACCTTTTCCTTAGGAAAGATGCGTGAGAGATGGATTGCTGCATGTGTATGATAGGTTGTTCAACTAAGAGCGGATGCCCTGGTTTAGGTGTGAACGCCCTATTTGGAACCCAGATTTTTCTCGCTCGGCCGCGAACGCGACCTCCGCGGTCATTAAGGGGGGAGGGAAAAGGGGTTCCACTCGCCGCCGTTTTTCTGGGCATGCGATTTGCAGCACTTTCCATGTTTTGGTCTTTACGACCGCGGTCAAACTGCCAGCGAAGGCGGATTGACCGTTCAAAGTACAGGGCCTTGTCCAAAACGACCTCCGGAGAGAGACGCTTCGGTGTGGGGCAGAACGAGAGACCAAGACCAAGAAGACGCTTTAGATTAGGCGGGATCTTAGTCGTTGGAGGGGACAGATTGTGAAAGGCCAGGTTGTGGGGCTCGAGGTCAACATTGCAGACGTAACGTAAAGCAAATGTATTAACTGCGTTGCTAAACGTCGACGCTAAAGGGTCTACGCGGAGGTCTTCTTGGAGGACTTGGGCTTCTTGGCGGTTTGCATGATCTTCCGGGCTTTCTTGGGCTTGCTTGGGGAGTCCTTGGCGGCTGCGGCGGGCTTGGCGGCGCGTCCGTTGTCGTTCCCGTTCTTGTTCTTGTTGTACTTTGACCCTGCGGGACCACCGCGGGGATTTTCGCCACCTCGTGGTGGGGGGGGGCTTGACGTCTTGTTGTTCATACCAGTCGGGCCCCCTGGGCGACTGGTGGCGGCTTTTAAACTCGCACGAAGTTGGTTAAGCTCCTTGCGCAACACCGCCGTTGATTTCCCGATCTCACGCTTCACGAGCTGGGCCACGAGGAGGTCATTTGGGAGGTCGACTTCCATGGCTTCGGCGGCGGTTTTCGCGGCGGCTTTCTTGGCGGCTTTCGCTTCGGCGGCGGTGGCTGCCAGGAGGCGTTGGTAGTGGAGCTTGGTGCAAGCGGAGTTCAGGAATTCAACAGACAAGACATAGTCATTGTAAAATATTAAATTGATATCCAGCCCTCCGGCGCACAACACACGGAGACTATCCGTGTGGGCAGCTCGTGCTTGGTGGGGGGGCGAGGAATCGGCGGGCCCCATGGGATCGGCGGGACCGTGTGGTTGGACGGGTCCGTTGGGATCGGGGGGGTTGGCGCCAGCGGGCGGTGGGTGGGGCACGCTATGGGGAACAGTGACGTTGGAGGCCGCTGCGGAACACGTCTCGAAGTAGGTCTTGAGTTCGGCGACGGCGTTGGGCACGCAGGCGTTCGTGGCAGCGCGGAGCTGCTGGAGTTCGGCCTGGGCGGCGTGCAGCACAATTGCGTGGAGGTCGGCGGAGCGTTGGGCGAGACCGGCGGCAAATTGGGCTTGCAGCCCGGCGGCTACATCGGGGGACGCGGCGAGCAGGGCAGACGACAGTCGGAGGTCCATCTTGGTTTGGATGGAGGCGGGCGGTCGTTGTTCGAGGCGAGCGACGGCCTTGATCTTGGCGTCGACGCGGTCGAGGAGAGCACGGTAGGAGGCAAGGCACGAGGCGATGATTTCCTTGGCGTGGGGCGGCGGGCTACGAGCGTCCATTTTGGTCGCGAGTCCTTCCTGAATTGGTTCTGTGGCGGGGTTTCGGGGTGAAGGGAGGTGCCGGGAGAACACAAAAACAAACGGAGGTGTGGGTCCGAAGGGGTGAATTAAAAATTAAGCAACTACAGGAGCGAAGCGACTCCGCGCGTAGCGCGTCAT